TTCTGGGTCTGTGGTTATAGCATGAATGGAAGAGAAGATGCTATAACTAAGAGATAGTACAGAATGACTATGATCCAAATAATTTTAAATTACCAATTTGATTTTAACAGCAAAAAAGATATCAAAGTGAATCCTTTTTCTACATGGACTGCATGTTATACAACACATTGATCTTGGATGCAGTTCTAGTTTCAGGCTTGTTAAAAAGCATTCTAGTCTTCCATTGTTACTATATTTGTTAGGTAGTTTCACAGTATTAAATTTGGCTCATTAGGGATGATACATTCCATTTTCAGAATTATATCAAAGCTCCCAACAAACAAAAATCCAGGACCAGATAGCTTTGCTGGTGAATTCTACCAAACATTTAAAGAAGAATTAATACCAATCCTTCTCAAGCTCTTCAAAAAATAGAAGAAGAAGGAACACTTCCAAACTCATTTTACAAGGCCAGCACTACCCTGATACCAAAACCAGACAAGAATGCCACAAGAAAAGAAAATTACAGGTCAATATTCCTGATGAACATAGATGCAAAAATCCTCAATAAAATATTAGCAAACCAAACTCAACAATACATTGAAAGGATCATACACCATGATCAAGTGGGATTTATTCCAGGGATGCAAGAATGTTTCAACATCTGCAAATCAATCAGTGTGGTACACCACATTAACAAAATGAAGAATAAAAATCATATGATCATCTCAATAGATTTTGACAAAATTGGACAAAATTCAACATCCATATATGATAAAAAAATCTCAACAAAGAGGGTATAGCGGGAACTATTTTAACATGATAAAGTCCATATATGACAAGCCCACAGCTAACATCATACTCAATGGTGAAACACTGAAAGCCTTTTCTCTAAGATCAGGAATAAGACAAGGATGCTCACTCACTACTTTTATTCAACATGGTATTGGAAATCCTAGCTGGAGCAATTAGGCAAGAAAAAGAAATAAAAGGCATCCAAATAGGAAAGGAAGAAGTAAAACTGTCACTATTTGCAGATGACATAATATTGTATATGGAAAACTCTAAAGACTCCACCAAAACCTAATAAACAAATTCAGTAAAGTTGCAGGATACAAAATCAATATTAAAAAATCAATTGTTTCTATACACTAATAAACTAGCAGAAAGAGAAATTAAGAAAACAATTTCATTTACAATTGCATCAAAAAGAATAAAATACCTAGGAATCAATTAAACCAAGGAGGTGAAAAACCTGTATACTGAAAAGTACAAGACAATGATAAAAGAAATGTAAGAAGACACAAGCAAATGGAAAGATATTCCATGCTCATGAATTAGAAGAATTAACATTGTTAAAATGTTCTTACTACCCAAAGCAATCTACAGATTCAGTGCAATCCCTATAATAATTTCAATGGCATTATTCACAGAAATAGAACAAACAATACTAAAATTTTTATGGAACCATAAAAGATCCTGAATAGCCAAAGCAATCATGAGAAAGAAGAACAAAACTGGAGGCATCACACTCCCTGATTTCAAACAATATATTACAAAGCTGTAGTAATCACAACAATGTGGTATTGGCATAAAAACAGACACATAGATCAATGGAACAGAATAGAGAGTTGAGAAATAAACGCACATATATAATATCAATTAATTTATGACAAAGGAGCCCAGAATATACAACGGGGAAAGGATGGTCTCTTCAATAAATGGTGCTAGGAAAATGGGACAGCCACATGCAAAAGAATGAAACTCGACCACTATCTTATACTATACACAAAAGTTAACTCAAAATAAATCAAAGATTTGATCATAAGACCTGAAACCATAAAACTCCCAGAAGAAAACGCAGGTGAACACACCTGACATCAGTCTTGGTGATGAATTTTTTGATTTGACACCAAAGCAAAGGCAACAGACGCAAAAATAGACAAATGGGACTATATCAAACTAAAAAGCTTTTGCACAGCAAATGAAACCAACAAAATGAAAAGGCAACCTACTGAATGGGAGAAAATATTTGCAAATCTTGTATCTGAGAGGGAATTAATATCCAAAATATATCAAGAACATGTGCAACTCAATAGCAAAAAAACAATGTGAGTGAAAAACAGAGGATCTGAATAGACATTTTTTCCAAAGAAGACATACAGATGGCCAACAGGCCCATCAAAAGGTGCTTAACATCACTAATCATCAAGGAAACGCAAATCAGAACCACAATGAGATATCACTTCACACCTGTTAGAATGGGTATTATGAAAAAGACAAGAAATAACAAGTGTTGGTGAAGGTGTGGAGAAAAGGGAACCCTTGTGCACTGTTAGTGGGAATGTAAATTGGTGCAGCCACTATGGAAAGCCATATGGAGGTTCCTCAAAAAGTTAAAAATAGAACTACCATATGATCCAGCAATTCCACTTCTGGGTATTTATCTGAAGAAAATGAAAACACTAATTTGAAAAGATATATGCACTACCATGTTCGCTGCAGCATTATTTAAAATAGCCAAAATATGGAAGCAACCTGTGTCCATCAATGGATGAACGGATAACAAAATTGTCACATATATGCACAATGGAATATTATAAAGCCATAAAAAAGCATGAAATCTTGCCTTTTGCAGCAACATGGATGGACCTTGAGGACATTATACTAAGTGAAATAAGTAAGAGAAAGACAAATACCATATGATCTCACTTATATATGGAATCTAAAAAAAATAAGCAAAATTAAAAAAAAAAAAAAACTCATGGATACCGAGAACAGATTGGTGGTTTCCAGAGATGGGTGACAGATGAGGAGTGGGCGAAATGAGTGAAGAGGGTTAAAAAGTACAAACTTCCAGCTATAAAATGAATAAGTCATGGGGATGTAATGTACAGCATGGTGACTATAGTTAATAATACTATAGTTAATAATACTTGAAAGTTGCTAAGAGAATAAATCTTAAAATTTTCGTTACAAGAACAAAAAGTTTTGTAACTGTGTATAGTGATGGATGTTAACAAGACTTACTGTGGTGATCATTTCACAATATATACAAATATCAAATAATTATGTTGTACACCAGAAACTAATATAATGTCATCTAAGTCTTTGGTGTCTCCCTCCACCAAGGAAAGGAGTTTTGAATGATACAATACAATACAATACAATATAATACAATACAATACAATATAATACAATACAATATAATATAATCAACTATATCTAAATTTAAAAAAAGAACCATATCAAAGCTTGTCATTAGAACAAATGTAGATATTTGTGGTTTAAGTGTATTAAAGTCATGTCTAGTTTTGCTAGAAGTGTCAATAGACTAGAATTTTCCTTTCTCACAGTGATTGACAGGATTCCTGGCCAGTTTGTTGATTTTCTGAGTGCTCTCTTCTTTTTTATCTCTTCTTGCTTACCTTTTTTGAAGGTTATTGTTTTCTTTACAAGTGTATTAATAATAAAAGCTTAGATAAGACTCAAACTAGCAAATTTTAGTCCTTTTCAGAAGCCCTAGTGAATATTTATTTATTTATTTTTACAATTTACTTGGTTTGAAGGCGGAAGGCCATAGGGTAGTGAGAAGAACAGGGAACAAGTGCTGGTTGAAATTATAGATTGAGGTTATTTGTAGAATTTAACATACTTTATCATAAATAATTAGGTGTTTATCTACTGCCTTTCAGGTTTACCATTAGCAGAGTACTGGAATTTTCTTCTTGTTTACTATTTTGGCATATAAATGTCATTTGTTCATGAATAACAAAAAGAATCATGATGGTTTATTCAAAGGTTTTCTGTGTAAATACATAAGATGGAACCAATTCAATCCAAAATTTAATTGTATACCTATTATGTGTATAAAAATGTGCTAAATGTTTGATTTATAGGGTTCAGACAAAAATACATATATTCCCAGCCCAAGATTCTTAATTGTTTTTTAAAAAATGGGATGTAAGGAGAAAAAGCATTAGTTTAAAAAGCTTTTACCGTAATGCTGAAATGCTTGAGTCACAAATAGATGATCTTATTCACCTAGACAAGAATAAGCACTAAATGAAGAAGGAGGTATTCAGTAGGTGATGTTGAGCACTAGCACTTTGTTTGAGAGGTCATGATCCTCATGAGCAGAGCAGTGAACACTGTGGTAGATTTAGAGTTACGGCATATATTCTCATTGTTATTGGGAAAAACTTGTTTTAATTGTGAAAGTGGGTATGAATTCTTCTAAGGCTCTATTAGAAACAAACATAATGCAAATGTTCATTGAGAAAAAATGGTTATATATGAATTGTCTCTGACCCCAAAGAAATTTTCAGTGTATTTGAAGAGTCAAGACATGCATATGTGAAACCATTATAGACATGACAGAATAGGAACCTACCCTAAATTCTTAGAATAAGCTCTCTTTGTCCTGGGAGGCTTCATTGAGGAAATGAGGTTTGAGATATCCACTGAAGAATTGATAGACTTCCTCATGTTACAATGAAATTTACCTTTTGCAGTAGAACCTACTGTAGCTATTGTTTGACATACTTATTATAAGCAATAAATTTCATTGTAGCATACTAGGGATGACGATCACAGGTTCTGAAATCAGACTATCTGAATACAAATCCAGATCTACCACTTACCTGCTGCATCACTGTAAAATAGGGATAATAATAGTATCTTTCTTATAGGGTCTTTAAGGATTAGTGAGAATAATGCATCTACATATTGTGGGAATAGCATGAGCTCTGGAGTCTGACAGACCTTGGTTCAGATCCCAGTTCTACCACTTACTAGAGACCTTACCCATTTGAGTTCTCCAAGATTCAGTTTTCTCATTTATAAGTGGAGATGATAAAGTCTAACTCAAAGAGCTGTTGTGATGATTAAATGAAGCAATTTATGCAAAGCACTTAGCAGAGTGCCTGGCAGACAGTAAAAGCTCGATAAATAATGTTATGTTGTTATACAATCTAAGTCATGTAGAGACTTTAGTTTTGTCTTTTTCTTCATGTTTTTAGGGTGAACCTGGTCTTCCTGGATACCCAGGCAACCCTGGTATCAAAGGTTCTCTGGGAGATACTGGTTTGCCCGGATTACCAGGGACTCCTGGAGCAAAAGGACAACCAGGTCTTCCTGGATTCCCTGGTAATATTACTTTTCTTAAATGCTTCCTTCTCTCCTTTCTTATCTACTCTAGTCCATATCACAGAGTAACTTCTTATTTGGCAGACTCCTATTCTATTTCTCAATTAGATACTGACTAGCAACACAATCTTGAACTAGCTCTTTAACTTTTCTTTGTCCCAATTTTTTTTTGTATAAAATGAGAATGAGTATTACCAACTCAGCAGGACAACATCCTGTGGGCAGAGAGACTATTTGGTAGAGCACTTTTCAATCTTTGACTGCTGGCCACAAGTCACTTAAGAGGCCTTACTATTTTTGTAGGTGATAAAGTACACTGCCAACCCATAGCCTGCTGCTGATTCTCTTAAAAGTTGTACTCAGGCACACAGTGGGAGGCTGTTGGTAGAACAATCATATAGTTCATTCAAATGACAAGGAATGAGTCATGCAAGCAGAGGGACTTAGTACTATAGTCAAGTAGGTAGCCTGCATTAGATTTTATAGTACCTGTTCTGTTTATGCTTGTATTTAATTTTTGTTTGTTTTTTTGGGGTGCACAGGAGCATAGATAGAGTGGGCCTCTGGTTATCTATTCCTTAACCTTTTTATTGAAGTATAACATAGATACAGTAAAGTGTGCAAGACTATAGATGACTTTTTACACATGTATATATCCATGTACCCACCATGCATATGAAGATATAAAATAGTTCCCTGACCCCATAAAGTTTACCCATGCCCCTTCACAATGAACCCCTCCCCCCCCCCGGTAATCACTACTATGACTTCTATCACAATCAATTAAGTTTGCCTGTTTTTGAAATTCGTATAAATGGATTCATACAGTATATATCCTTATGTCTGGCTTCTTCCACCCATCATTATGTCTGTAAGATTTATTTATCTTGTTGTATGTGTCAGTAGTTTTATCATTGCTCTGTAATATTCCATTGAAGAAATACACCATAATCAATTACCCATTTTCCTGTTGATGGACTTTTGGGTTGTTTCCAGTTTGGGACTACTAAGAAAAAAGATGCTATTAACGTTCTTTGATATGTCTTTTGGTGGACATATGTACTCATTTCTCTTAGACAAAAACGTTGTAGGAGAATTACTGAATCATAGGGTAGGTGTACATTTAACTTTAATAGATGGTGCTAGGTTTCCAAAGTGGTTTTATGAATTATAATCATACCTGCAATGTATGAAAAGTCCATGGGTGGCTCCTGGTGGCTTGCCATGATTGTATAGTGGTTAGTACTTTGCTTCGTGAAATGTCCAGTTGCCCATATCCTCATCTCACTTGGTATTGTCAATCTTTTTAATTTTAGTTATTCTGGTGGGTATATAGAAGTATCTCACTGAAATTTTAATTTACTTTTTTCTAATGAATGACAATATTAACCTTTTCATATACTTATTGACCATTTGGTTAGCATCTTTTTGAAGTGCCTGCTCCAAGTTTTTTTGCTCATATTTTATTGGGTTGTTTTCCTTTATTCTTATTGATTTAGAGCAGTTCTTTATATATTCTGAATATGAGTCCTTTGTCAGACATATGTTCTTCCTGTCTCAAATTTGCCTTTCACTCTCTTAATGCTGTTGTGTGATGAACAAAAGCTGTTAATTTTAATAAAGTCCAATTTATCAATATTCTTTCATGGTTAGTGCTTTTTTGTCCTATTCAAGAAATATCTGCCTACTCAAATTTATGGAAATATTATTCTAATCTTTTATATAACTTTAATGTTTAAGCTTTTATTTTTAGCTTATGATCTTTCTTGAATAAAAATATTTTTATGGTTGTGAGGTAAAAGTCAAGGTTAATTTTTTTCTATCCAAATATCCAATTGCTCCACACTGTTTTTTTTTCTTTTAAAGAACCTGAGTTGTTCTGCTCATCAAAAGACATCATTAAGAAAATGAATAGAGAAGTCACAGTCTAGGAGAAAATACTCACAAAATATATATCTGACAAATGACTGATATTTGGGATATATAAAGAACCTCTATAACACAATAATAACAAGATATAAATCCAATGTTTTTAAATGGGGAAAACTTTGAACATACGTTTCACAAAGAAGGTATTTGGATGGCCAGTAAGCACATAAAAAGCTGATCAATATCACTATCCATCAGAGAAATGCAAATTAAAACCACAATGAAGTAGCAGTACATTCTTACCAGAATGGCTGTTAAAACAACTGATATTACCATATGTTGTACAAGGATCTGGAGCAACTAGAATTCCCAAACGTTGTTGTTGTGAGTGTAAAATGGTTTGGAAGGTTTTTTTTTAATAAAACACAACATACGCCTACTCTTTGACTCAGCAGTTCCACTCCTATCTAGGTATTTACCCGAGATAAATTAAGACCTATGTCCACAAAAATACCAGTGCAAAAATATGCATGGCGGAGTTACTCATAATAGCTAAAAACTGGAAATAGATCAGGTTTCCATAAATAGAATAGATATTCATAATAGCTAAAACCTGACAACAATCCAAATGTCCAACAATAGATGAATGGATTAAAAAAATTGGAACATCCATACAATGGAATCCTACCAACTCTACCAGTGCAATATAGTGGTAATTATTTTTATTATGAATGTATAATAATGGCAGCCTCTGGATAAATAAATTGAAAATTTAAAATTATTCTTAGAAATATCCAACAAATACCAGCATCTTTTTGGGTTTTCTTTCTATTCTTCACTGTTTCTATGCTAACACTATAAATTGTAAACTTGCATTGTAGCTCTCAAAGCAGTGCAGTTTGTCTTTTATTATTAAACTGAACTCTTTACTCTAGGAACCCCAGGCCTTCCTGGACCAAAAGGTATTAATGGTCCTCCTGGGAACCCTGGCCTTCCGGGAGAACCCGGTCCTATAGGTAAGCATGAAAAATAAGAGGTTTCTGTTCTGTACAACTAAGGCTCATATTCATTTTGGGAAAGTCAAATCATTTCTGGGAGCTGTGAACATTTTGAAGACAAGGAAACATGCTGATCATTCACTTAGCACTACTTGTTAGGTACAAAGTGAACAATTCGATAAAAATTACTTACAATTATTATTATGAGACCTTATTTTGGGGGCTCACTTTTTCCAAAGAAAATTATTTTGAGTATCCTATAATAGTAGATAAAAACTCTGATTTTTTTTAGAGTGGCAAGGTGTAGCACTTTTGTTTGTTTACTGAACTTTAAAGAAAATCACTTCTCTTGACCCCATATGAGGCCTATAATGCACCCTACCCCAACCCCTACACCTTACTCTATTGGATACTCTACAGCTAGATTAAAATGAGAAACGGAAAGTTTTTGGATACTGAGTGAATGATAAGATTGTTTCTTATTCTCATTATCCTTTATTTCTTTTATGCTTTTTTTCCACAAAATTTCATGATTTAAAGGAGTGTCTCAAAGGCACTTCGTGTCTTTTGGATGGAACTATTTGAAGCTAGTATGGAAAGTATGGGAAATATGGAAGGGAATTGGGAAGATAGGTGTAACCTGCTGTACTCTGTTCTTTAGGTGGTGGAGGTCGTCCGGGGCCACCAGGGCCTCCAGGTGAAAAAGGCAAACCAGGTCAAGATGGTATTCCTGGACCAGCTGGACAGAAGGGTGAACCAGGTGCTGTATTTTTTCATGGTTCCTAATTTTCTAATTTCCTTCTTGTCTATTTTAACTTTTGCCCTTTTCCACCCACAATGAAATCACATCTTCTTTCTTATCCTCTAAGCTACCACACCCTTTTCCTTTCCTAATTACCTTCTTCTACTCTGTCCTGAGAATATTACCTCACATTTATTGATCAAGTTGTCTCCCTCTTATGAAAAACTCCATATCCTTTCTTGCCCAGTTTTTCATGTCAAGAAGTTACCCAGATTTTTTCAACTTCTCTGGATGAGCTCCTTTCACTATACAATCTATATTCCATTTATATATATATTCATATGGTATAAGTATAGAAAGATATATTAACACCCATCACAAATAGAATATGTTTCTCTAGTTTTCTTATGTTAGAATTGTAGTTCCATGTTGGAAATAAATCTTCTGCATGTTTCATATAATATACATTGTAGCACTTAATAAAAACCCAAATGATCAAAAAATAATTTGTCCTTGTTTCAGTTATTATTATCTATTTCAGAGTTTTTGGTTTATGCCCTGACAGGTCAACCAGGCTTTGGAATCCCAGGACCCCCTGGACTCCCAGGACTTTCTGGTAAACTTTAATAAAACATGCTAAATCAGCCCATAAAAAGAGAATATTCTCCAGTACACTTATTTTCCAATCTCTAACATTTACTGTTATAAAATGTACATATAACCCCAGAAAACTCAAAGCTAGAGTTGTATCTTAAAACATTTCTTGATTAGCAATTTAGTATAAGGAGTTGTACTATATAAAAATACATCCTTAAGGAAATTTACATGTAGATATCTCTTCATTAACTTCGTAAATAAAAGCTGAGGAAATGACAAAGAAAGCGAGCACAATTATAGGAAGAAGTAGATTTCACTAAATTTTTAAAAACTTTTAGCCTTAAAAATAATTCTTTTAGCCATTCTTTTCTCCCCGTGGAAACAAAACCAAGGTACTATGAGGAAACTCTGTAGAAATATGTACCAATAATAAAAATGTCTCTTGAAAACTCCATCTTAATACACGTCTTGCATTTTGGATGAGTATGTGCACACACACACGTCTACATTCCCTCACTTGTTCTTACTCTTATTGTAAGCACAAAATAGTTAATTGAATGAATGTACCTACAGATATGTATGTTTTTCTTCTGAAATGACCATTGGATAGTCTATGGAGGCTTTTATCAACCCACACACATATCTCCTAGAAATTCTAATATCCTTCTCATGATCCCTGCATGAAAATTGTTACTTTAATGTGCCACTATTATATTGTTATCAGGGGTGTTGGTGGCGTAGAAGAAATGTTAAGAACAGTTGGTCTAGATGGTGATTCTAAATCTTAGATAGAATGGTCTTCAGGGATATATATATACTATTGAAGATCCACATCTTCCATTAGTCTCAAAAACATTTGTTTTAGGAGTTTCCTCCAGTCATCTCTAACCTGTTCTTGCAGATACATTATACTTTTCTGTTTTTTCTCTTTTCTCACAGCAACTAGTTGTGTGATCATTGCTATAATACAAAGGGTATCTTTCAGGATGCAAGCTATTATTGTTTCTACATTTCCATGCATACCCTAATAAACACTTCTGATAACAGATAAATATATTTAATAGGAAGAATGGATTTTGGGGATGGGTTGGGGATTTGGTGGGAGATAGATATGACCCTAGTAAATTTCATTACTTGTTCTAATAAGTGTGAATAGCTTTAGCCTTACAGGCAAACTTAATACTCAGTATCATTTAATGTGTTCTTTAATGTCACTTTACTTTCATAGGGCAAAAGGGTGATGAAGGATTCCCTGGCATTCCAGGAACCCCTGGCCTTCCAGGTCCAAAGGGCGAACCAGGCTTTCAGGGTTTCCCTGGTGTTCAGGGTCCCCCAGGCCCTCCTGGTTCTCCAGGTCCAGCTCTGGAAGGCCCTAAAGGCAACCCTGGGCCCCAAGGTCCTCCTGGAAGACCAGGTATGTACATGAGTGGTAGGGGAATGGTCTATTTATTACTCCATTTATTTCACTTTGCTGGCAGGTTATTCAGTCTTTAGGACTTTAGAATCTACAATCTAAGAACTTCTTAGAGTAAATAGCTTTATTTATACCTAGTTCCTTGCATTTCCAGGGCATGTGATAATTCTTTTCAGTAATGCCTTTCATCATTACTTAAAGCTGAAGTAAAGCAAACCAACTTGGAGGAAAAACGTAAATAGTGGATTTATTAGTCTTTTTATTAAGGGTAAAGCTATGCTGATAACCTGGCAGCAAAATACCATCTGCATTTTTAATGTGAGCTTCTCAGCATGTCATCACAGAAATCATTTTAGTGATCACACAATAGATGCTTATGGTCCATATCAAGTGTTGCTATGGTTCTGTCATATGATCAGCGAATGTCACCAAGCACAATAAAAAAATTTTATCTTCTCTAGGAACTAGGCAATCAAATTTATCTTCAACATCACAGCATGATTAAATTGAATAGTGATCTCTTCATACCAGCTTCATGTCTATACCTCATTTGTCTTGTGTTAACTGCACTACTAGTCTCAATTTTGCATCCAATGTTCACTTTTCATTTTGTGTCTGTGCTGTGTCATTTCATTTTACTAAGTTTGGAAATGCTCATTTTCATCCTGGATTAATGTTGCTGAGCCCAATCACTGGTGATAGGTTATGAAAAGATTTTTGATACTTGATATTCAGTTGTTATATTTCTAGTAATTGAAAACTTGGTCTTCATTGATTTTTTAAAAATAAGAGAAATTTAAGATTAAAGAATCGAAACAGTTGTCCTTTTATCCTTTGATAGTCTCTGACTCATTTTTTAAATGTATTTAAAAATGAAAATTTCCATTTAAATTACCATAAACTCTGAAGTGGTTTGAGCTAATTTTAATAAAATATGCTCTAAAACATGAATTAAATAAGATCACATACTTTGTTCAGAGGATCACTTTCAAAACCAGATTTTATTTGATCTGACTTGATTGTTTATAGAGGGTGTTATTTGAAGTTTTGCCTTGGTTTACTATTGAAGAAAACCAGTGAAAATCTTCTCAGCCATGTTAACTCTCTTGCATGTGATATAAAGAATTGGCACAAATATCTTGCTTGGTTATGCATGCAATAATTCAAATAAACCAAACTATTATCTTTCTTTATATTTTAATCAGCACTGTGGTTATTTGTTCTTACTAGTAATGGAGCTCACTGTTGAACATTGCTTTGAAATATGTCAACATAAAGACATTAGTCACAAAGGCGCTTTAAAAAGTTGCTGTTTCTAAAGAAATAATAACAAAAGCAGTCGGAAGAAGAACACTCACCTGATGAGTGTTTGTGACTTCTCAATTTGTTTATGAAGTAAAAATTAAAATGGAGTTTTAAACCCAATTGCCCTTAGAATTGATTGTTTTTGTCTGAGCTCATAGTAATGATTATTATAAAAATGATTTTTGGCCTTTCAAAATATGTCACATGTGCTGTTTTTATTTTAGTGTTGGTGCTAAGTGGTGATAATTTGGTTTATATATAGGTGCATGAATATGAACTTTGAGTATTCTTTTATTGAATTAAAGTTTAACTTGAAAGATGTTAGTATAATGCTTTAGTTTCTTGATATTTCTAACAATTTTGATATTTTTCCTTTTTGTTAATGATGACATTGGGCCCTGGTGAACTTTGATCCCTATCCAGGTCCTACAGGTTAGCTCCTTAACTCAAAGTAGTAACTGCATGAAGTTTGAAACATTTCTTATATTTTTATATGTATTTATATGTATGTGTGTATATATATTTATATATACATATATATATGTATGTATGTATATGTGTGTGTATGTGTGTGTGTGTATATATATATATATATATATATATATATATATATACACACATACACAATATATACACCTGTACCTAATGGTTTCAAGTGTTTGAGTATATTTTAAGAGCATATGCCAATTCAGTTCTTACATGTTGGTCTATCTCTGAAAGTTGTCAGGAACTTGTAGAGTCCAGTGTTTCTATCTATTGTAATAACACCAAATTACCTAATTAGGAAAACTGATTTAACATTTTAAAATTCATATATTTGTGTCATTTTTAGCTGAAAATTTATAGTACCCAAAAGTGTATTGTATAGTATTTTACCTTTAGAGTAGAGAATATTCCTTATTTTTGCCTTATATCTGTTAATGTAAATGAAATTGAACTATACTTCAAAAAGGCACTATTTTTTATACAATAATATGTATTATCAGATCCTTAAAATATGCAATTCTTGACTTGCCATACCTCTTGTAATTTTTCAAATCATCCCATCTTCACATTCTGGGTTATCACAAAGTTCTAAATTCTACTGCTATGAAAATGGACTAATAGACACAGAGTATAAAAAAAAAATTCAATGCAACCAGTACAGATTAGAAGCTTTTTAATCTTATTTTCATCATACACATAAAAACAGTACACAAGAAAGAACAGTTACCAAGAGCTACCCAGTTGAAAATTGCTGAGTCATAGTGAAAGATGTTCACCTAATCAGGAGTGAAAAGAGCCACAAATATCTGAATGTGTTCATTATTATTCAAGATAAATAGCCCTTTTCAAATTTCTAAAGAGGAACTAAAAGAGGAAAAAGTATACTTTTGAGTTCTGGCTATTGGGAATTGTGGGAAATTTTTTCTTCTTATGAATTTAAAATTCTTAATTTTTCAGGAGTCTTTTTAGGAAGCCATCTATCTCTATCTGAAGGGATTCCCTAGTTTCTTACTCCCCCACTAACCCATTATTTCATAGAACCATAGAGTATCCAATCTAGAAGGGACCTAAATTTTACACTTGTCAAAGAGATATTTTTCACCAGACACTTGTTGAATATTGCAAGACAGATTTTATTCAAGACTATTGTAATAGGGGAGAGACTGTTGCAACAAGGGAGAGAGACTGAGCTCAACTCTGAATACAACAAGAAAAGTGGGGATTTATAGTCAACTAGCAGAGTGAGAGAGTCAGTGGATGAAAAATTACTAAGAAGAGGACATCAAGGGTAGGCAGATTCTTGCTAAACTGGACTAATAGAATACTTGCTAAAGGCAGGCCAGGGACTTAGACATCAAGGATGGGGGATGAGTAACTTGATTGAATATCAAGGGTGGGGGGACTCTCCCTAAACTGACTTAGCAGGATTCTTGCTAAAACTGGCCTCAGCAGACCAAGGACAGGACCCAAGGATGAGGCCTAGTTGAGAAGAGGTCTCAGAGGATCCTTTCTAAAGTTTAGTCAAGGAAAGAGTCTTTGTCACATATGAGAAAACTGAGGCCCAAGAGGTTAAGAAGCTTGCTCAAGGTTATATTGTTAGTTACTGGCATAGCTGAAAATCTGACTTAGGGCTCCCCAATGCTCAGTTAAGTGTCTTTTCTACTAGTAACATGTATCATCCTTCCAGAAAGGCAGTTGTATTGTTTGATACTTATCTGGCCTCTTATTCTAGTTATAAATATGGTAAGTGATAAAGCAAAGCTGCTTCTGCCATTTTAGGAGACTCTTAGCCATAGCAAACTGGGCCCTGCCTCCACTTTCTTGTTTTCTGTTACTTCAAAAGCTCCATCAGCCCCTACTAACTACTTCTTGTGCTTTTCCTAAATGGATGTCATCAAAAAGGTTAAGACAAGTGCATGCTATTTAACTATCACCGAGATAAAGAGAGGACTAGGATATACTTTTAAGTGATTTTGGGTCCTCCACTGTCTGACTTGCATAGAAGTCTGCTGTCTTGATCTCTTCCAGACTTTACTATCAGCTAGAAGAAGATTGTTTTCTTCTGAGGCACCAGAATATATTCAAAGAAGAAATGGGAAAGTAGCCACATTACTTTAAAACCAATTTGTCAACTTCTTATTTACCAGATGTACTCTAAATTACATAGTTAATGGAACCTGGTATCTGCACTGTTCTCTTCTTTGCAACAGTTAAAGACTACAATCTTAAGTGGAAACTGGACTTAAGATATACCAATCAATTCATCAGCTTATATTTAGTTATTACCACTTATGTATAAGACTTTAGCTTTATAATTTTATTTTTTTTTCCAAACTTTGTTAGGTCCTTTGAGAAATAATGGAATAAGAGCCTCATGTACAAAATTGACTTGGCATATAACTCATTAAAATGTTACCTTTTAGAAATTAAAGTCTTAGAAGTTTTGCTATGATGTGATCTGAAGTTTTCCGTATTACTTATTCAGATTGAAATATCATATATTTCAATGATGTATTTTCTAAGAATTCTTGTTATTGGTCCTTGTGTATCAAACACAAATGTCTTTACTATATATAAAATGTCTTTACTCAAACTGAATTATCTAGGAATAAGAATTCTAATTTATTTAACTAATTGTGTGGCCAGACTCTGCTCCAAGTGTTGTCTTGAGTCAGTTTGCTGTATGTGGTTTAGAGACCATTTAAACAAACAGAAGCCGATTTTTAGCCTTCTGAATTTCAAATTATCAAATGCTTTCAAAGCTTTATTACTAAGCAGTAATGGTAGTGTTTTATAGTTATATGATGACATGCCACCATTTACATCATATAATTTACTTTTATTGTAAGCTCCTTGAGAACAGATTTTGGGTCTAGCTAATCTTTGTGTTCCCTGTAGCAACTTGCAAATGGCAGATATCAGGTCAATATTTTAAAAATTAAATTTGATCTTTAAAACAACTCTACAAGGGAGATTAGGGCAGACAACACTATTACCATTATGTGGGTGAAAAAACAAGCTCCGGGGGATTGAATTGCCCAAAATTCCATAGATGTAAGTAGTAGAGCCAAGAATAGATCCTAGGTTTTCTAATTCTTGGGAGTCAGTGCTCTAGCACAATTTAGTCTCTCTGCTAACCTCAGTGTTTATAAATCATAGCAAAACTTGTAAGAAAAGAAAATTGTGTTTATAGTCAATTAACATTAACCAAGGGTTGTCCTACTTGTAAGCTTTTTATTTTTTATTTAATGATCCTTCTTTTAATAGTTAATAGCCTGGTTTAATATGTACATTGAATAAGAATAAAGTAAATATGATATTATCTGTGGTTTGGGGTGGGGTATTGCATGGCAAAATATTTTAAAGCACCTCTTCACTGATGGTCTTCACATTTTCGGCCAACTCTTTATTTTCAAGTTCAATGGTGAAAAAATATATATTTATTTATTATTATTTTTTTTGTGTGAGGAAAATCAGCCCTGAGCTAACATCCATGCTAATCCTCCTCTTCTTGCTGAGGAAGACCGGCTCTGAGCTAACACCTATTGCCAATCCTCCTCCTTTTTTATTTTTCCCCAAATCCCCAGTAGATAGTTGTATGTCATGGTCACACAGCCTTCTAGTTACTGTATGTGGGACGCGGCCTCAGCATGGCCGGAGGAGTGGTGCGTCGGTGCGCACCCGGGATCCGAACCCGGGCCGCCAGTTGCAGAGTGCACACACTTAACCGCTAAGCCACGGGGTCGGCCTGAAAAAGTATATATTGATGTTTTCTTTTTGAGTAATTTGTTACAAGTAATAATACACAGAAGAAAGCCTCTTGATGAATTATGACAAAAAAATAAGAATGTGACTTCGTGGAATGATTTTCAAAGAAGACAAACAGAAGTACAGTAGGTAATGGCCATTGTAGACTCATGTTTTAATTTCTCTATTTAGTCACCTATGATCTTTGTATTTTTGTCTAATGAGGCCTTTAAAGTTAACTAAAGTTATATCTCCTTGGGGCAGTCTGAACATAAGAAATTTGCACCTCATGTCTTCTACTAAAAGATGGAAGAGACCAAGATAAACTCAAACATATATCCAAAATTATCCCTTTGTGAAAGGAATGGAAGGCTATCAGTGAAATGGTACTATCTTGCCAACTTTAATGTTTTGAGATGCTAACTTTTGGAAAGCCACAGTAGCAGTGTTAACATGATGTCTTCAGTAGAGTTTTCCATTTTTTGGATTAATGAAAACTAGCAGCTTATTTCCTAGAATGAGCTCTATTTGAAAATGTTTGGCTCTCTATACTCCTTTATGGTTCTGTTTGCATACTGATTACGCTGTAGGTATAAGAAATGCTGGCAAAGAGGATTATTGTTTAACTTGTGCTATAATGTGAACCACTTCTAACTCATAATCTTATTTTGTACTGTGTGATGTCTGATACTGCTAACATCGATCTTTGGGCTTTGGTGAACTCTGATCTTCCCAGGTTTTCAAGGTTAGACTCTTCACTGGTCAATTCTTTTTTTTTTTTTTTTAATGCTTTGTATGTGTCATAAGAGAAATGCACTTTTTTTGCTATAATTCAGAAGTCATTGAAGAGTACCATTATCCTCAAATACTGCTCAGGTATTTAACATTTTGGTGAAGGTAATGTGACTTTTATGATCAAATTTGAAATGACATTAGGTCTTTGTGGTTTCAATTATTTCTAATGGGTAATCAATACATAAATACATGTTGAAATTTAAATGGAAATACACTTATTTTTTCTTTAAGATTGCATTAAGATATTTAGGCACGCATCTGGCCCATTTGTAATCTTTACATATTGATTTTACTTTTTCGAATTTTTGTTGCCTGAGATTGCTCTGATCTGTGTTTTCATGGCTGTTTTCAGTAATGAAAGAAAGTAACTCTTGAGTACTGTTAAAAATAAAACTTGTATGTCCCTTATGTCATTAGCAAATTCACTAGTTTAAATCTGAAAGACTCTAGAACAGCAGATCTGAATTAATAACATGTAAATTTCCCAATATTTCCTCTTAATTACAAAAAGAGCAATGCCCATAACATGCCTAGTTTTTTTTCAAATGATGACAATGTTGTGATTACATTTCAGACTGGAAAAGAGGGTCATAAGAGATTCCTTTTTTTTCCTCTCTTAATCTTTCCTTGTCATTGTTAGGCTGATTCACAGACAGTTTATTTTTCTCTCAGTAAGCTGACTTGCTACCTAATTTCTAGTCCAAATTATACATTATGGATGAAACTAACAATTTTGCTTAGAAAACCCTATCTAGGGAGTTTGAACTCAGCAGTTGTTTTTGTTTGTTTGTTTAAATGCAAAATACCCCAACCCTTTCTTTATGATTGGGAAGGGAATTTCTGAGTGTGTCTGTCTGGTAGCTGGGCTAGGGAGACTATATGATTTAAACTGTTTCAAGATAAAACAATTGTTGTACTGTTGTGGGCCTGCTTCCTTTTTCTCATGTGCCAAATAGAGTAGTGTTATATTATGAAATCACATAGAAATAGGTGAAAGATTAAAAACTGGGCTCATATTTTAAAGATATGTTCTTACCTTCAGTTTTACTAATAATGAAGATAATAACAGTAATAATAATAATTTTAAAAACCCTCTTACATAGTTCTTACTATGTGCCAGGCACTCTGTTAAATAATTTATGCATATTGTCTTATTTAATCCTTGGAACAGCCTGATAAAGTAGGCACTATTCTTATTTCCATTTTAAAGAAGAGGAAATTGAGGCCAAGGAGATTAATAAACTTGCTAAGGTCAGACAGCTAATGATTAATGGAGATAGGATTCCAACCCAGCGTTCTAACTCCATAGTCCAGCATTCATAGTCCGTATGCCATGTTGCCTTGTTAGCATGTAGCCATTGATTCTGGGTCTTAAGAGAACTTAAGTCCAAATTTTATTTCAGATCAATAAGGTGACCCTTTGTTCATACATAAGCATGAACTCAGTATTCTAAATTCATATGTCTATGATACTTCCTTCAAAAATAATCCCTAGATATCTTCCTTTTTTGTCAAAACCAACGAAAGAGGAGAGAAGGTATAAGTGCTAACTATTGGCTGTTCATTATTTAGGGCTTCATAATTCTTTTCTTTTTTTACCTTTTCCTTTTTTTTTTTTTTTTTTGCTTGAGGAAGATTAGCCCTGAGCTGACATCTGTGCCAGTCTTCCTCTCTTTTGTATGTGGGTTGCCACCACAGCATGGCTGATGAGTGGTGTAGGTCTGCGCCCGGGATCTGAACCCAGGCCGCTCAGGTGGAGCATGCCAAACTTAACCACTAGGCCGTGGGGCTGGCCCCCATAATTATTTTCTAAGTAGTCCTCTACTTAGTCCCAGCCTCAGCGACTACTTAGCACTCTGCAAGCAAGTAACAGCTATTTCCCACCTAGCGACAAAGATGTGGCCATTGATAAGATCTCTTTGGTTGCTTAATGGATCTGGTATCTTTAGAAAGAAAAATTGAAAACATGGTATAGGGAAAAGAGCTTAGCAAAATCTTATTTTAAATTATTTCATTTATTCACAAGATATATGCAGAATTCTTTATTTTTCTTCAAAAATATTTAAAACGAAGAATATGAAAACATTTTTAAAATAAATTCAAAAGTACTATATTGAATCAATAAATTTCTGACACTTTAAAATATCCCCATTAAGTATTAAGCATGCCACTAAAATGAAATGAAACAGTTTGCTTAAATAACTGTCTTAATTGCGTAATAATAGAAGGTGAGTAAAAGTAACTACTTACAAATAATGCAATTTGAGTTTAATCACAATGAGACAAATGGCTTGAATCCCCGATTTACCTACAGCAGTGATTCTTAAAGTGTAGTCTGGAACCAGCAGCTTTAGCTACAGGGCACTTGATTATCTACAGGGCACTTGTTAAAATGCAAATTCTTGGGCCCCTCCCCAACCTTACTGAATTCAAAACTCTGGGGGTAAGCACAGGAATCTGTTTTAACAAGCTCTTCTGGGGTTTCTGATGCATGCTCCAATTTGAGAACAGTGCCCTGTAGTATCTGTTTTGTTTCACTTAAATCAAACGCTTAGTTAGGGGTTATAGAAGCAATCTTTCTTACAATGTCCTGAGTCCTTTCTTTAGATATGAACTTATTGGATTTAATATATAATAAAATGCAAACTAAAAAAGTCTGCTAACCAGTGTTAATAACAAAAAGAACCCAGCCCAATTTACATTAGAAAGAGGATCAGCATAGGTCTTATATTTTAGTGTTGTCTGAATTATATTATGCAAACTAATACGATTTAGATGACTGATTTTAATAGCCTGACTTTTATGCTACTCTTATGTTATACTGAAATGCGGTCCTTTGTTGTGCATTATCAAGGTCTACCAGGTCCGGAAGGTCCCCGGGGTCTCCCTGGAAATGGAGGTATTAAAGGAGAGAGAGGAAACCCAGGCCAACCTGGACAACCTGGTTTGCCTGGTTTGAAAGGAGATCAAGGACCACCAGGACCCCAGGTAGGAAATGGGAGTAGATATTTGATGAAAAAGGGGTGTGGGTGTTTGCATTTAAAATGAGAATTCTAAACTGCATTATTTTAATTAGCATTTACTGGTCAAGGCCCTATGCATGGCTCATTGGTGAATTACAAAGAAAGAAAAAGGCAAGTTTCCTATCTTCTTCCAACGAAAGGGACTTTGCTACCTTACAGTTATTGAGTTCCTCAAATGATACTTTACCTGGAGTCTTTGGTTTGTATAGTATTTAGATTTAAGAAACATTCATTTCAGTGAAAGCAAATTTATAAAAGTAGACATATATATCAGAGCATTGCGTGTGGATGAGTCCACCCATAGGGAAGTAGTTATGGTGAGTCAGGATATTTTAGACTTTGAAATTAGATTTAGGGTCAAATTTCAGCTCCACTGCACACTTCTGCTTTGTGTCTATGAGGAAGGCAGATAGACACTTTGGGTTTCTGTCTTCACCTGTAAAAAAAGAATAATAGTATATCCCCACGTCTATATTCATGTGCTTTCCACCTTGGTTTGAGTGACACAGAAAGTCACATGCTCTGTATGGATCCTCAAAGCTTCCCCCATTCATTCAGGGGGATTGCTATTAGATTTGGCAGCCAACACAGTCTAAGCTCAGGCTTTGAACTCTGATGGCTGCTTTATAGCAGGAAAAAAACAATCTAAGGAAGGGGCCCTTAAAGCTTTCCAACAACTAACCTTTTTTCCCATGTCATCACTATTCTTCTAGACACCTAGACTTCAAATTTTAGTCCACTCTTTGTTCATTCTCTACTCACTCACCATCTCATTCATTTCCCATTGTACTTCCAATTCACATGCCTGATTCAAGACTACTTCCTGATACCAACATTTTATAAATCTAGTTTTGTCAAGTTCTATTCATTTTCTTTTGTGCAAGCTAGTTCTTACATTTGCGCTTTTTCTAATTTTTTATTTGGAAATAATGTTAAACTTATAGAAAAGTTGCAAGAATGGTGAAAAACCTCCCATGTGTCATTTACCCAGATGGACCAATTGTTAACGTTTTGCCCCATTTGCTCTCTGTATGTATGTTATGTGTGTGTGTATAATTATATATTTTTATTTATTTATATATTTATTATATTTAATTTATTACATATTTATATATGTAATAATATGTATGTATTATTTAATGTTTATTTAACTTAATGTATTATTTAATATTACATAACATATTTATATATGTAATAATATGTATAATTATATATTTTTTCTGAAACATTTGAGAGTAAATTGCATCTATCATGCCCCTTTACCACTAAATACCTCAGTCCATAAGATTTCCTAAGATTAAAGACATTCTTTTATATAACTACAGTACAGTTATCAACTTCAGGATGTTGAACATCAATATAATACTTTTTATTTCTACCTTACATATTCCAATTGTGTCAATTGACCTAGTAATGTCCCTTATACCATTTTTCCCCTCCAATATAGGATCCAGACCAAATCGTGCATTGCGTTTAACTGTCAGATCTCTTTATTCTCCCTTAATCTGAAACAGTTTCTAAACCCTATTTTTTTCTTTCATGACCTTGACATTTTTGAAGAAATGTAGCCCCTTCCCAGGTTTTAAAAAATAGAGCGTTTCTTTTGTCTGCTGTTTCTTCACAATTAGATTCAACTTATGCATTCCCAGCTGGAATACTACATAAGTGACGTTGTGTCCTTCTCAGATATGGAGACCCACGATGTTCATCTGCTCCTCATTGGTGATCTTAATTTTGATCGCCCCATCAAGTTGTTATCTGGTTTCTCCACTATATGGTTACTATTTTCCCCTTGTAACTAATAAGCACAACTATGAGAAGGTACATTAAGATCATGCAAATATACTGCTCTTCATCAAAATTTCCCCTTAGATTTAACATCTGTTTATGATTTTTGCCTCAGCCAATCAATACTGGGATGGTGGCAAATCATAATTTTCCAACTGTAGCACTACTTCTGCATATACTAGTCGGACCTACTGTAAGCAAGAACCTCCTTTCTCTTCCATTTATTGTTTATTATCGTATGGACTCATCAATTGTCATTTTTTTCAACAATTTACAATTTTTTCAACTATCATTACTTATTTTGGTGCTCAAATTGTCCTATATTTGGGAATCCCTTCAAGCTGATCCTGTGTCTTTCTGACATGCCCCCCACCCCCCTTTTTAGCCCTTTCTTACATTTTGGCATAATAAGATGTTCCAGGCTTGCCTCTTTTTTATTCCTACTAATAGGAGCTTCGTTGTCCCACACTTATTCTTCCTTTAGATCCATACTAGAGTTATTTTCAACTCTTCTTCTTCCCATAATTTTCTTGGCCCTCAAATCCAATTAATTAACAAGCCCTACTATGTTTTTTGCTAAGTTTTTCAGACTTTATCGTTTCTGCACTTGTGATTCTAATCCAAGCACTTATAGCCTCAGGGTTTTGGTTAACGGTAATAAAGTAATAGCTCACATTTATTAAGTACATACCACATGCCAATCAGTTTTCTAAGTACTTAATGTGAACTATCTCATTTAATCCTCACAACAACCCCATGAAGTAGATACTATTATTTTCTCTGTGTTAGAGGTGAGAATACTATGAATCAAAGAGGTTAAATAATCAACTCAAGGTCACACAAGCTAAAAAGAGGCAAAATTGGGATTTGATCCTGGAAGTTTGACTCTAGAGCCAGTGATACAAACCACTATGCAATACCAGCTATGCCCTCACTTTCTTCCTCTCCCAATCTTTTTCTAAAATTAATTATTTTCTTTACTCAGGGTAATCCTGGCCGGCCAGGTCTCAATGGAATGAAAGGAGATCCTGGTCTCCCTGGTGTTCCAGGATTTCCAGGTATTTGAAGAGATATTTTGAGGTTCCCCCTTTACATTAAACTCGTTTGGGACAAGATACCCCTTTTCTGATTTGGCTGGGTAAAGGCTGTGGCTCTGTTGCTTTGCTGTGCAATTATATGTATCTTCTTTGCAGGCATGAAAGGACCCAGTGGAATACCTGGTTCAACTGGCCCTGAGGGGGATCCAGGACTTATTGGCCCCCCAGGTAAGACTTATTCCTGGAGCTAGTTATACTTGATACTTAAACATATTGAAGAATTTGAAAGTTTGCATTCTGCCTTTTAACCAAACTTTCAGAGTCTCAGTCCCCAGCAACTAAGGAGAAATAGGCAGGACTCTTCCTCTATTTACAGATCTCTCAAGTTCTCTATTATATTAATGTACTATCTAGAGCAGACCTTTTAAGTTTAAGGTCGATACAGGATCAACAAGAATGCTTCATTGAGATTTTTATTGGCCTTTATACTAAGTTTCCCATATTCAGTTAAACAGATCACAAGAGCAAGTCACATAGCTATGTTTGTATACTTTTGATATGAAAACAGTTCTTTTTGCTGAGAGCCTCATAGAGATTTCCTGTAAACTGTGAAATAGAGCGTCTGCTAAATTCCCCTTCTAGTTCAGTGGGTCTCTTGACAAGTACAACAAACAAGCACTGCAAATGATGTTAGAATCAGAATGGTCTTGTCAGGAAATAGAATTGTCTTCCCCTGGCACCAGTATTCACGGATTTGTAATGGATTAGACTTTCTTGTAACCGAGTCATGGTTCAAGGCTTGAAAATAGGGACAATATGCCTAATTTTTCCGTTGATCCTAATAAAATTATTTATTTTTTCAGTCTTCTAGGTGAGATAATGATAGTTTTCCCAAACAGATTTCTGGGGGCATGACAACATTCTAATACATATAACTTGCTTCTCTCACACTAATTCTTCTTCTGAGCCTAGGTCACTTTGGCATCCATTCCTTCTGACCTTTCTCTTCCCTACCTTCAAATTTGTGTCTGTTTACCTCTTAGGTCCCCCTGGATTACCTGGTCCTTCAGGACAGAGTATTATAATCAAAGGAGACGCTGGTCCGCCAGGGGTCCCAGGCCAGCCTGGATTAAAAGGTCTATCAGGACTACCAGGACCTCAAGGCTTACCAGGTACCTTTGCAGATCTTTTTAAGGCTTATCTATTTGAGAACATTTCCCTCGTTCTCCTTTCACTTGTCAGAGTTTGTGTCAGACAATAGGAATCTCAGCACCTTGTAGAATACCAGACTACCACAGGTCCCATTTCCTTTTTTCTTGAAAATGTTCGTTTCTCATGCCCTAATTTCTTTTAGGCCCAGTCCGATTTCTTCTAGTTCCTCTAGCTGTTCTAATTTGAACAATTAGGTTAATGTTGTTAAAAAAAACTTTGTAATGAAATTAATATGCATTTAAGGTCTGATGCTTTCTCTATCCCAACCACCAGTATGATAGACGGCTGATTTGGTGGGCCATCAGTTCCCCACTGTGAGGCCTCATTATTTTTAAACTAAATCCTATCTAGTTGGCCATTTGACTCTATGTTTGCAGTCAATTTTGATTATAAAAGAAAGCTAGAAACTAACTTCAGTCTTTCTCTCTTATTAAGTGATTGAGTGGCAGTCTTTCCATAAATAAAGTGTGCCAGGCAGTAACAGCCTTACCTATGGTGGGATAGGTAACAAAAGTTGGGCCTTGAACTTCTATCTTGTTGTGAAGGCAAAGAGAACACAACTGCCATATTATGGGAATCTCCACAAAGGTAAAAAGGATTGTTTAAAACTAAAGCTAAATCCTTGTCTGCTTTTTTTGTCTTGGATTTGAGCTATTCCTTTGTTTATCTGGATTAAAGCCAAAACCAGATTATGAATTCAGATTATGACACTCAGGGACCTTCAGTATCCTGGATCTGTCTGGATTTGGAATTATTCTACCCACATTTGGAAACAACCCTATTTCTTTTTCCTATAGGTCCGATTGGCCCTCCAGGAGATCCTGGACGCAATGGACTCCCTGGCTTTGATGGTGCAGGAGGGCGCAAAGGAGACCCAGGTCTGCCAGGACAGCCAGGTGAGACAAGTAAAACACTGCTGCTGGTACTAGTCTTTAAGTCTAGGAGACCACTGGACATGTGGCCTCCAATTGGAGCTGTAAGAGCCTCCTCTTGAGAGAGTGCAGGTAGCTGGTGAATCTATTGCTGGGCAAAAATAGGGTAGCGCATACAAGGAGATTTGCCAGAGTAAGAGAAGCATAGATAAGTTATTTTTATTTATCTGTTTAAAGCACTGGAAAACTCGGCTTTTCCTCAAAATGAAGATTGTCTAGGTACTCACTGTACTCACCTGTTCTGGTAATTTTCAATATGTTGATTTAAATTCCGTGACCATCTTGAAACCATTGTGAATCTTTCCACATTTGAAAATACCACAGTAGAGTGTAATTCCCCCATAGTATTTAGTAAATATAATTGTACATTTTAAGTGACCCCCATAGAGCTTTGAGAGTCATAGTGTCATCTTATACTGAGATAACAAATTGATATGCAGATTTTTGAGATCACTCATTAATAGGTGCTCCTGGTAATATTGAATTGATATCTATTAGATTTCTAATCTGTACTCAGCCTACTTCCAAAAAGAATTTGAGTCAACCTGCAATAAAAAATACACTGAAGTAAGATTGCTAAAAAAGAAATAGAAGATCATGAACTCAATAGATTAATATGTGTGAGCAGCTCTAGATAATATAAATATAACTCTAAATTATATAAACAAAGAGTTTATATTGGCAAAAAATATCAGTGGCAACAAGGCAGAGTGGTGATACCCATGGCCTTCCTAGAACCAACATCCTGCCATTTCATTAACTGCATTTCTAGGGAAGAAACAAGTTAGTGTCATCTTCCTCATATATGGGCATTGCTGTGAAGTTTCCCCAAAATGAAAATTTATACACACAGTGCCCAAAGGCCTATATACAACGAGAATTTTAAATGAGCTCAAATCAAGAGGCTAAATGGAGAAAGGGAAACAGCGGTAGATTGAAAATAGACGTTTTGAAAAGGCTTCTTTAGAGTGCCCTGTTTATTCACTAAACAAAAAGGTATGCCTGAGAATAATTCCTCAGACAGATTCAAAGGAAATGTTTTTCAGCACTGAAGCTGGCAGACTGATGGCATCCACACCCTTCCTTTCTCCTTGATGAACAAAACAGCAGGCTGAAATTTTGTCATGGGATTTGGACTCTCTTAGTACAGCAAGAGACTTGATAACATACAGACTCTCCAAATAAGCGACTCCTTCCCATCTAATGTTCCTTTCACCCAGAATTTATTTAGTGCCTAATGTTGTCAACCAATTCCAGAAGAAAAAAAATATATTTAAATCTCTTTGAGGGCAGGGACCGTATTTTACCCAAATCTATGATATCTGACAATGCCTTGATAGACATTCTATAAATATTGACTAAATTAACAAATCAAAAGATTTTGTTTTGTCAGTAGCCATAAGAGTGGATCAGAGCTTACTTAATCTTGTATACTGATGATTCCATGGAAATAGGTACCCGTGGCTTGGATGGTCCCCCCGGGCCAGATGGATTGCAAGGTCCCCCAGGTCCTCCTGGAAGCTCCTCTGTTGCCCATGGATTCCTCATCACACGTCACAGCCAGACAACAGATGCACCACAATGCCCGCAGGGTACTGCCCAGATTTATGAAGGCTTTTCTCTCCTGTATGTACAAGGAAATAAAAGAGCACACGGTCAAGACTTGGGTGAGATAATTGGCATCTTATTTCTTACTATGCATTTTATTTTTTGTTTTGAAAATCCTCTTGGGTTTTAGAGTAGCCTTGGCCAAAATGCATCTCTCTATTCTTTTGGGGCTTTCAAATTGAAGACCATGTCAAGAGCAGCTGAATATATTCACTGTGAGTTTTAAATAAATAATATTTAACTTTAAACTAAAAGCATTAATTAGCTAGTGTGAGGTACAATTCTTGGCCTAAAGCAAGACGTTTTGGAAAGGGCCACATTTACTTTTGTTAGCTTAGTTGTTAAGGAAACAGATTCCCTGGGCTCTCTACAGTATAGCAGCTGTTTGAGTGGGCAGTATTTATAACTCATGGGAGATAGTTTCCTCTTCTCTGACACTGGTCTTCATCAAGTTGAAAGATAAGTTCTGAAGAGAATCTTGGTTTCTAGATCAAAGAAAGTAAGGTCGATTGCTTAATTATGCTAGTTTATAGTTCCTAAAATAAGTGCCTTATCTTTATAAAGTATCAAAGTAGTTTAAACTATATAAAGCACAATATTTTCATATAATAACCACTTCATTTAATGTGTTCCCATACATCTTCTTTATATTGGGGTGGGCAGTTTGCTTGATGGGATGAGGCTGGACTAGATGACTCTCAAGATCTCTTCCAATCCTCAAGATTTCTTTTTCTGGAATTGTGACTTTGGATTTTGAGGCCTCATTTTTTGACCAGGGGCTACCTATTTTAGGGATCACTAACCCCTTTGCTTCCATAAAGACATTTAAGAAGATAGTCTGGGCTCTCAGCTTCTACGGTCTCCATGGTAAGAGGCCTCCTGAGGTCTCTTTAGCTGGGCCATTCTGTGAAAACAGTTATGCAGCAACAGAGACCTCCAGAAGTCTGCTCTGCGCACTGTTCCCAGGGCATATGGCCATGCCTGCCAGATGGTTCTGGCCCACTAGAGTAGTCACGTCCACTTACAAGGAAGCCAATAGTCACAGGTCATTTTATGAAGCCAGATAAAGTAGGAGTTTGCCCAATATTTTCTTCTTCCTCTTCTACTTTTCTTTTCTTCTTCTTTTCATCTTTCCTCTGCTACTTTTCCTTCCTTCTTTTGGTTTCTTTATGTAACATGTTCTTTTTCTAATTTTATAATTGACAAATCTTCATTGTTAAAATACTCTTATCTTATCTTTTAGAAAATTTTCTCTAGTCTTTCTTCCACAAAATTCTTCTCCTTTTAGTCCATTCTCTTTTCACTGTCAGAGTCTAACTTATACACATAATCAAGCTTGTAAACTTCAAATCCCTGACCTATCAAGTCAATAGCAACCATTAGAAGTTTTTGAGTACCATGAAATTAAAAAATGTAATGCAAAAAGAAAAAGGGATCTGCTATCCAATTTGTCACTATAACATTTCAAAATGTGTGTATTTGGTCAAACAAGGGCTATCATAGTATGCATGCAGACTTAGATGCTACAAACTGGCCCTGACTTGGATACAGTTTAAACCTCAGACATAGGAAGGCCATGACAGGGCCCAAGATCCCAAAATGATCCTGAATTACAGAGTCTCTGGTAGGGTTCACACAAGGATAAAATTGGAGATATCTTCATGGCTAAACAAAAAATAGAGACAGCTATAGCTTTGATGTTAAAGAATCAATTACTTGATCAAATAAATACATACTCTATATTAGATTAGTGAGAAGATTATGGTGTGTAAAAAAAGAGGGTAGAGGAAACAGATTGAATACTAAAACTATTTTGTCTGGGAGAAAAAAAATATTAGTCTATTAAAGCCTTATAATTTTAGAACATGGGAGGCATTGAGAGTTCGTGAGATCACCCTCTCTTCAAAAATTTGGAGGCTATAATCCAGAATTCTGCGTCATTGTGGGCAGCCTACAGCACAGATGCAACCAAACACCCCTGTTCTCATCATTTTGGGCCTCCCTTTCATGTACCTCTTCCTTTCTCTTCTTTCTGAGACCAGGGATATTTCCAGCTCTGTCTCTAATTAGGCAGTAAGGTTGGTTTTATTTTTAAATTACTTTATAATTAAAAAGCACTTTCATATCCATTATCCAATTTCATTTTCACAACTATGATCAAGAAAGATATAGGACAAGTATTTTTTTTTCCATTTTATATATGCACACAAAAAAACTGGCTAAGAGGTTAAGTGACTTATTCAAAGCCACATGCTCAGAAAGTGATGGAGATAAGAATTGAATCCAACACCGACCAATTCTAAATCCATTCATTTTTCAATTACTCCAGTTTGTCATTCACTCTCACATGACCTTGAGTCAGCAGTCACCTCTCTCTGAGCTAGTTTTTTTTTTTCTGAAAAAAGTATAAATTAGACTAAGTCAATGATTTTCAACCTGGGGGGCTTTTGAAAAGATTCCTAGGCCCATCCCAAACCTACTGTATAAAAATTCCCGGTGATTCTGACGATCCACCAGGTTTAAGAATTATCGGTCTTTTATCAGTCGTCTTCAATCTGAGATAAGCATACTCCTTTGGATACATGAGGAATTTCCCAGAAATACACAGGCATAATTTTAAAGGAATCAATTTTCAAATCCTCAAGTTTCATGTGTACTTTATGCTAAAGTTGAACTGCCTGTGCATATACTTTGGATACCCACATCCCCTTTCACTATCACCCATCTTCCCCTTTATAAAAGAATCAAACGATGACACGTTGCCTTGAAGTGTGAAAACCTCTAGGGGACAGATTCAAAGGGACAATTCAAAATAAAGTTTTTGTTAAAGTCTCCATTAACTGAGGCTCTATAGTTCACTTCCAATCCATCTCACTAAGAAATGCATTTCCAATAAAAGTTTATTTTTCGTGTTTAGTAATTATCAAAATTTATAATATCTATTTGTTTTTGAACAATTGTGAATTAATAATATTTATGATGACAATTCAAAATAAAATATTTGACATGTAAAGCCTTATGGTCATAGAAAGTTTTTAAAAGTTATTTTAAATTTTTGTTCCAGATAAATATGATAGGATAATCAATAAAAGATTTCCAAAAATAAAAATACATTAGGATAAAACTGTGTGAGAGAAGTAGAATGGAAATGTAATCTCCAAATGCAAAAGGAGTATTGTTTAATTTCTAATTGTTAAAGACAAGTTTATGTACTTTTAAAAATGTTTAGTGTTAGGCTTCAAATCATTACATTGGATTCATTTAAAAAAGTGATATAAAAATTTGTTTTTAATATAGATATTCATAAAACACTAGAAATGACTGCTGGTAATGTTGAACGTGCTTTGCAAAGTCCCAGGCCCCAGTATTACAAAGTAGAGGATAGAAGTGTGAGTTTGAGGCCAAGAGACAATAACCAATATCTTAATAACTGGCACAGTATCAATTAAAACTTCCGATGAAAAATTTTGGATGTTAACTTAAAAATGTCTGAGGGGTACATCACTTTTCATCATTCTTTTGTGTGTAAATGAGAAATGAAAGGCCTCATCACTTGTAGAGATAACCTCTCTTGCCCCTACCAGCTCAGAAATTCAAAGGCTCTAGTTCCTTTTCTTTTTATTCCTTCACATCCTTCCTTTCTCTCTTATTTAATTTTTTTTCCTTTTTATTATTGACCTGCAAACCTGTCCATCGTTGCTGTGCATATTGTTCAGCTCTACAATTGTGCCTAGGCTTAAAGAGATTGCATACCCACACAAGATACATACTGGGGATGTCTTGGAAGAAGAGAAGGCAGCCTGGAGAGGAAATACTGATATGATATTATAAGGACTCAGTGTGTGCCCTTCACTTGTCCGCAATAAATTACCCGGTATTCTCCATAAGACACCATTGTTTATAAGACGTATCACCAGTTTAAAAACAATGTTGGGGAATATATAATGAGCTACCACAATAAATGTCTACATAAATTATAAGTTATATCCTGATTTTAGAAATGATGAAATATGAGTAAATGTACATCTTATAATTGAAGAATTAAAGTATATTAATTATCTAAGAAATGTGGGCAAGTTTCTCTTTGAAAGGTTGTTTGTTAGTGTTTTAGAAGAAACTAAAGTACCATTATGATGCAGTCCTTCATCTTTTTCTCCCCAATTCTTCCTAGGGACGGCCGGCAGCTGCCTTCGTCGCTTCAGTACCATGCCTTTTATGTTCTGCAACATCAATAATGTTTGCAACTTTGCTTCAAGAAATGATTATTCTTATTGGCTCTCCACTCCAGAACCTATGCCAATGAGCATGGAGCCCCTGAAGGGCCAGAGCATTCAGCCATTCATTAGTCGGTGAGACATTGGTATAGCTTTGACTTTTACCAATCCCCAGTTAGATTAGCTAGGCAGAAATGAGTCCAAAGCTAATAATCTGAGCATATTTCTCCCAGGTTAGGTAGAACAGAGGTGCCTTTGTAATATTCAATTCAGTATGTAGTTTGATCCGTATTTATTGGGGATCTGCTTTTGACCAGGCCCCAGGACAGACATAGTGTAATATACAAAGAACTCACAGTCTAGTCATTAGCCAAATGTACATAAATTAATCTAATATATATCAGGCTTGGGCTAAGTGCTACAATAGATCTAATAAAAATGTTATGAAAGCATGACAAAAGGGATGTTTAATTCTAACTGGAGAAATTTTGGATGACTGTATAGAAGAAATGTGTTTTGAACTGGTTAGTCTTTGAGGGATGAGAAGGACTTGAGACATTGGCAGTTATAAGGGGGAAGGACACACTAGGCAGAGAACATGGGTAGTAGATTGGTGTGTCTAGAATGTAGTTTGTAGAGGTTGCATAGGGAGAAGAGGTTGGAAAGTTAACTTGGACCCAAATAGTAGAAAGTTTTCAATGTCAGATTTTAGTTTGGAATTTATTTGGTATATAATGGGGAGCCCTGAAAAGTTTTTGAGCTACATTTCATGGAAGATTATAGAGCTTTCAGTGTGTAACATGGATTAAAGAGGGAATAGTCCCGAGGTAGAGAGACCAGTTAAATTGAAGGTATTGCTATATTCCTGGTAGGAGTGGATTGAAACTCTCAGTGGGGGACATATATCATGTTAATAGAATGGATAGGATTTGGCAGTTGATTAGCTATGGGAGGAAGGAAGTGATAGCTGAGGTTTGGAGCATGAGTAAGAGGAGGGTGGTACCATTAATAGATTCCTAGAGTTTTGCCACATTAGAATCTTAGTTTAACTCAATCTCCTAGGCATATTAGATATTGCCATTTTTGATCATGACCCAATTTATCTAGGAGTCCAGTAACCATAAAAGATGAATCATTGGAAAGTATAGTTTCTTTCACATTCAGTATAAAGGTTAAACCTAGTTCAGCCTCTCTTAGTAGCAAATTCATGGTGCCCTTTTTAATACATTTGCCCAAATCCTTTGGGGATTCATTTTTTGTGATCTTTATCACTCTCAACTCTTGGGAATAAAAGGTCCCGTAAAGGTATTCCCTATTTTGTAGACAAACTTTGCCAAATTGGTTCAGTCATATTTCAAAAGTTCCCCTCATGCTCTTTATTAAAGATTTGGTAGATTCAGCTGTATTTACTGTGTTGCTGTTTTACTTGATTTTATAGATTTAAGCCACATCCCCAAGTGCCTGGGTACCTGCCCAGCATTCTAGAAATTTTGTACTTCTTCAGATATGACCAAATGGTTAATAAATATCTTTTGGACCAAAAATAATGGGTGGGGATTGAGAAAGTGTCTGTTTCTTGTCTTTTCCAATTTATCAGACATTGTTCTTAGCACAGTTTCAGCATTACTCAATGTCTACCCTCCAACTGGGCACTTTGACAGCAAGTAGTATGTACAATACACTTAACCAAACTCTCACAGCAATTATGGCATTGACTACAGCAAGTATGAATACAAATTTGGGGCAGAATGGAAAATGAAAATGCTATAGCAGTGCTTCTGTAGTTTCTTGAAAAAAGCTTACAGTTTTTGTTTATAACTTTATTATGTATATTGAGAGATAGGGCTTATCCAAAAAGCAATTCTCAAAGTGCATTTCTCTCCTTTCCTGAGCATTAAAGACACCTTAATGGGCTTCTATACCAGGAAGGCTACCAAAGAAGAGGGACTGCTATTTCCCACATCCTCTGTAGACTGTGTTCCCTCTCCCTTTCCCTTACCAGATGTGCAGTATGCGAAGCTCCAGCTGTGGTGATTGCAGTTCACAGTCAGACCATCCAGATTCCCCGTTGTCCTCAGGGATGGGATTCTCTCTGGATTGGTTATTCCTTCATGATGGTACGAAACACTCTTCCTTGTCTTTGTCGTCCTTGCTGACTGTCCATCATATCTACATTTCTTCCCAATATGAGGAATCCCTGTCATTTGCTTAGTAAGAAGCTTGAGCTTCAAATAGCTTCTATCCAAGCACTGTGTTGCCCCTCACACATTTTCTGGAACATATTTTCATAATCTGCCTGTTGCTTTGGTTGAGTACTCTTGATGTGGATACTATTCTGTTACCTCTGACACTAGTTCCTTCACTGGATTTGAATTTTTGGTCAAGCTCAGCACGCATTTTTAGGTATTCACTAAGTTGTCATGGCACGTGGGTATTGTGGCACATTTTTCCTTGTCTTTTCTAGCACACAAGTGCAGGAGCGGAGGGCTCAGGTCAAGCCCTGGCCTCCCCTGGTTCTTGCTTGGAAGAGTTTCGTTCAGCTCCCTTCATTGAATGTCATGGGCGAGGTACCTGCAACTACTATGCCAACTCCTACAGCTTTTGGCTGGCAACTGTAGATATGTCAGATATGTTCAGGTAAGGTGCTTATGTCTTTAATTTAGTTTAGGTCCTAAGCTTACTTCAGAGATGCTCGGGAAGAGAGAGGCTGTTCATGGATGGTTTATATCCAATAAATGTTAGTAATTTAGTGGGCAGTGTTCTTGATTCTTGCTTATTCTCCTCATATACCAGTCTCAGGTCAGAAAAACAGACTTTGCTAATATTAGATAGGTGTGGTTTGAGATATCTTAGTAGTAATCTTTCAATAGCAAAATAGAGCAAGGAAAGGTTATATGATCTGCTCAATAACAAGTGAACAGCTGTTCAAGTAGAACGAAGCCACGCCAGGAATTGAAGCTATAATCTATGTTCCCTCTCCCAGTCCAGTAGTCTCCTTTAGCAGGATGTTTTTAAGGCTCTCATCCAAGTGTTTGAATGAATAGGACCACATATGATATATGTACCTCAGGATACTTCAATCTAGTGGATTTGTTTTTGGTTTAAATTTATTTTTATATGTCACTTCTTTTGAGTTATCATTAATTGATATTTTTCTTATGTATTATCTTTATGTATTTCTTGTGTATTGTGTATTATCATTTATTTCTCATCAGTTGCCCAGATCCCCCTCATTCTAGGCCTATTAGAAAAATGTATAAGAAAAAGAGAGGGAGAGACAAATAGACAAAGATAATAGTGGTGGGGAGAAGAGTCACAAAAAGACCTATGACCACTAATGGCTCTTAGGCCATACCAGTCGTTACATTAGATCCCATTGCACAAAATTTAACCAGTAAGTCATCAGGAGAGCTACTTAAAAACAAAGAGAATGTGTGGGTATGAATTTGAACCAATAATAGAATTGAAATACCATAAGAGGCTAATCTGATACGCTTGTTTCTTATTTCCCAGCAAACCTCAGTCAGAAACGCTGAAAGCAGGAGACTTGAGGACACGTATTAGCCGATGTCAAGTGTGCATGAAGAGGACATAACATTTTGAAGAATTCCTTGTGTGTTTTTAAATGTGATATATATATACATATATATATATATATATATAAAATTCCCAGGATGCAATGTCTCACTCTCCCCAACTTTACTACTGCTGCCACCAATGGTGCTACTATATATGACCAAGAGAGCATGCTGACTAGGAACCATGAAGATTCAGATGTACCTCAGCAATGTGCCAGAGAAAGGTGTCTATTATTTTTCTACGAAAGAAATAAGGAAATGAATTTACTTTTTGGGTCCAGAATGACTTTCTCCAAGGATTATAAGATGAAGATTATATATTTTGCCCAGTAACTAAAATGGCACGTTAAAAATTCAATTAAGAGAAGAATCACATTGAGTAAAATAAAAGACTGCAGTTTGGGGGAAGAATTATTTTTCATGGTGCTACTAATCCTACTGTATCCCAGGTTTTTAATATAAAAGTGTTAAGCTTATTTTGCTCTGTAAGTAAAGAATGTGTATATTGTGTAAACAGCCTTTTAGCTCAAAATGTTCAGTCATTTAGATGTGATCTGACATGAGTCACTCTTTACAGAAAACTTAGGAAAACCTAGAATACAGGCAGCAAGATTTTATATCCATGTTTATTAAAATGAGAGAATTTGTATTCTTGCATCAAGTTACTACTGAGAGTAAATTTATTTTGAGTTTTACCCCCTAAGTTCTTATTTGACTTTTATAAAAACACGGGTCATTTTTAGTCACTTTAATCAGAATTTTAAATGTTCCTGTTACATACCAAATTATAATATCCACTGGAGCAATTTCTCTTTTGCTATATTCTCCAAGACACTCTTAACACTACATGCCTCCTGTTTTAATGTTTCTTACATCTTGTTTTTGCTCATCCCTGACTGGGCAAAATTCTCCCAAATGATTGTGAGAAACAAAAACATACCAAAAAAAAATGACAATTTTTCCCTGTGCTTCTTATGTAAGAATTATTCTCCTCTGGTCTCTGCTTGTACAAGAACTGGGAAGCCAATACTTGTTTAGTCTTCCCTCTTCAATTACAAAGCCAATTGATGTTTCTTATTCTTTTTTATTTTAAACATTTTGTTATAAATAGTCATAGAATACTTTATTTCCCTAGCTGTCATCTTCTCACTTCTTAATGTTTTTTAACTCACCAATATCAATTTAATTAAAGATATCATATGTTGTAAGGATGGTTTATTGTGTATGTTTTCAGCCTTTGTGTAAAAATGTGCTCACTTACAGATAGACTACACATCTGCACATCAACAAGTAGTCCCTTCTCAGAGAGTCATTTAGAGCAGTTCTGAACCAAAAGAGGTTTCTGCAGACTTGGATCACTCTGATAGCTGATAGAAAACACACAGCAGTGTACTTTTTCCAATGAAGAAAACAACCCATTTGAAGGTATTTTTGAGATAATAAATTTATTAAAAACATTGTGTTGATGGCTGAGAAAGGAAGCAGAACTACTTTCTATTTTGGGAAGAATTCATTAATAATGTTTAAAGCAGATTAGTAAGTTAATATTCCTAATGATTAGGAATGAATACATGTAGCTCTCTAAAATAGCTGAGGACTTGCTAAAAGTAAGAGGTATTAAAAGCGTCCAAAATAAAATTTGTGTTACAGCTAAAATATGAAACAACCAAAGTGATTTTGAGAATTTTAGACCCTAATATAAACCCATGCAAAATCTAAAGCTTAGAGTCTGTAGTGGTCAAAGTTAGGTTCTATACAATGGTAACTACCTAATAATACTGTTGATTTCAAGGCTAGCCGATTGCAAATTCTAGCTTTATTTTTCCATGTAGCCACATGCATGAAAACACTAATGGGTAATTGTAAATGAAAACACTATATTACATCCCATAGATTTTTCTACATGCTGTACACTCGAAGGTTGCTCCTTGAATTACAGTTGTAAACAATAATTCCAGAGATTTTGCCGTTTGTAGCTTTCCCTCTCATTTTTAGCTGATTGAAAACCTTGGCTCAAAAATAACCTCTTTTTTTAAAATTTTTTTTTGTTTATTGCAGTAACATTGGTTTATAACATTGTATAAATTTCAGATGTACATCATTATACTTCTATCTCTGCATAGATCACACTTAACATTTTTTTTTAAATTTTACTTATTTATTTTTTCCCCCAAAGCCCCAGTAGATAGTTGTATGTCATAGCTGCACATCCTTCTAGTTGCCGTATGTGGGACACGGCCTCAGCATGGCTGGAGAAGCGGTGCGTCGGTGCGCGCCAGGGATCGAACCCAGGCCGCCAGCAGCGGAGCACGCGCACTTAACCGCTAAGCCACGAGGCTGGCCCACACTTAACATTTTAATAGTTGCACGTGCAGCTAGTCTATGTGTTTCTTAAATCCCATAACTATCCCAGCCCTGCTTTGTTGTTTAAAGTACATGAACCCAATCCATTCCAGGACCTTAATGTTGTTGACCCTCCCTTGACACTGAATATTCAAAGATTATTCTGATATAGCAGCTCTAGTAGTTGCCTATAGTGAGTTTTGCAGTCATACACAGTTAACGGTTTTCCCACATAGGCAGGCAATGAATAAGTTATTCTTCTTAATCAGATACAAATAGGCTTTACATGTATCAACCAAGTGATATATATATACACATACACACACACACACAGACATATGCTATGTTGGTGTCACACTCATCACTTCCAAGCTTCCAAAAGAGATTTTATCGGACACTTTATGATTGTACAGTGTCTTTTCTCACCCAGCCAAATTTGAAGAACACTTTCTATTTCTCGTGGTGCCATTTAGGTTCTTTGCCTCAGTTGGCATGTTTAATTGAAAACTCACTTGTCATGCCAAGCCATCAGAAGTTTATTAATGTTAATCACAAGAGGGCACTATTGCCTATAAAAATCAATCAGTATGTGCAATGATTTGTTGAACTCATTGATGATGGTGGTGGTGGAGTTGTCTAAAGCCCTGCCTCCAGATTCCTCGTTTTAAGCTTCATATATTCTTTCATCCTCATAAAGATCAATAGCAAGTATTTTAAGAGGTGGCCCAGTTTCCCAATCTCTGCATTCAAAATAAGGGACAGCTCTACTGTCAAAGATTCTTTTAAGGGCCTGATTATGAGTTGGCTCTGGTAATACTTCCCGTGCCTCTCAACACAGAAGCAAAAAGCAATCACTTTTGTTTGGCCAGGACTTCAAGTGGCTTCCTTAGCAGAGAAGCTTTGTTCTCAGACTGGACTATACAAACACCTTCATCTCTCAGCAGCTCCAACATAAATTGAATAATATTTTTAAATCATATGTCATTTCCATTTTAGAGCAGTGGTTTCCAGAGTATGATCAGGATGTTTGGAAGGTTTGTATGGTGGAAATACTTATAAATTGGGACACTGAAGAAATAAATTCAGATAGGACTGTCTCTCAAGTTCCACAGCAACAAACATTCATTAAATACTTATTAGCTGTAGGGCACTGTGATAGATAGCAATCCAAAAACAACTTAACCAGAGAGCTATTCAGTGACTATAATACATATCCCAAGAAGAAGTATGGTATGCTATCCTTGACTACGAAATCTTACTAATTCCAGGCCAGACTAGGATAGATCATGAGGCTTTTTGCCAGCAGTAGCTGTCCAGAGTAAGCTGACTCACCAACCTGTTGCCTAACACATGGACAGGCAAAAATCACATTTATGTAAACTTAATTCTCTATTTCTCTATGAGTGGACAGCATGCCCAGCACCTAACCCCACAGGATGGCAAATTGATGACATCGTACCAATTTATGCCAGATATCTTCTGTTTTCCTCTTCCAGATTCACATGGCATTCTTTGCCCTGATTTCTGCCCCAGGGGGTTTCCATGCCCTCTGGCTTCTGATTGGGTTCAACCAATGGGATACCCCCAGCAGGATAACAGAGTGAGGAACAAGAGTGAGGTTAGGGTATTTATTTTTGTGGGGCCTATGTGGTCAGCTCAGATTGGCTTGTGCTCCTCAGTTGAATGTCCCTGCTCCTCTCAAGATGACCTGCTTTTCTTAATTATATCTCCCTGTCTAGTTCCAGTAACCTCTTTCTTCTCATCTCTTCAAGTCTGTGTTTATGATGACAAGTCTACCGCTGCTGTGCTGTTAGCCCTGGATTCCTGCACTACCTTTTGTGGTTCCCCTACACACCACCTACATCTTTCTAATTAAACTCTCCTCAGATTATCCTAATTTAAGTGTGTTGTCTGTTTGCTGTTGATACCCTGACAAATGCACAACTGCTTCTAGTTTCCAAAATCTAGTGGAGGTGCTTTATTCTTATATGTGGCAAAGTGAGGGTGAATTGATAAAGGTGACATGCATGATTAGCATCTTCCAATTTGAACTGAGGGATAGGCCAGCAGAAATATGACTTAACATCACTTAAGCTAACACCTAGTTAACCAAGCTTTATTGGAAGCTGTGTTCCAAGGTTTTTAGAGTGATATGAGGCAAAATATGTTCATTATGATCCTAAATTATTTAGATTTTTTTCAAATATCGTCCCACTGGATCTCTAAAGAATGCATTTTGACTTCCTCCTGAATGGTCATTTGCTTGCTCTAGCCTACTCCAAAGGAAGAATCTCAGTTGCCTCATTGGTAGGCTAGATTCTAAGCTACGATAACTAATCTCTCAAAGCTCTGGAAAGGAAACTCCTACTGATACTACTAGTACTATTTCCACCAGAGAAATCTGCCAAGCCAGGTGTATATGCCTGCAGTCAGTAGAAAACCCCAAAGAGTTACTAGGTCAATAAATAGACAATTTAAGCCACCTAAAACAAATGCTTTTCTAGCCTCAAGGGCCTCTGTGAAAGGTAAGCCCACTGAAATACTTCAGATCTGCTTCCCTTTTGTTCATCAAGGCTACCAGAGTAAATGCTTAGACTAGAGATTACTGAAGATGGGACAGGCTCTAAAACCAAAGGTGGTCTGAGACTACTTGTTAATTTCAACCAGGGTTGCATGGAGCCTACCAAGAAGTGAATATACTTTCCTTTAAAGTAAAATAGTTTTCTGGTTGATTTCCTTGGGGCCAGTAATGTGCTTGCTATTGCCAGTCTATTACAAGCTGCAGTGGTAAACCAGATGTCATACCTTTGTGTCTTTCTCTGACACAATATTTTGACCCTTGCTTGGGCTCTAAAGAAGACTACCTCTGAGGCCTCAGTAGCAACAGGAGTAACACCTTGATTTATATAGTTCTCATTAAAATGTCATTCTTCACACATGACTTCATCTGAGCCTCAACAACCCTGACATATTCAAACAGTGCAATGATTGGTCTCCATTTTACAGACGTAGGAGATGAACCTTAGAATGGTTAAGTTAATTTCCCAAGGTCACAGGACAAGTTACTAAGTTCTCTTTTACTCCAAATCTAATCACCACCTTCAAGTCATGAAGATACCTGTATCAAAAAACTCAGAATCCTGTGTGGTGGCAATTCTTGGCAGTACAGGGTTCTCTGCCTCGTGAAAGTGATAAGCTACATGTTTTGGAAACCTCGGTTCTCTGTTAAGGATGAGTGCTTTTCCCAGCACCATCATAGCACTGGAGACCCTTTAGAATTAACCCTTGGACACAGGGGACTTACAGTGAATCAATCTACTATACCTCAGGATACTCTTTTCTGGTCTAAGCCTCTGTAGTTAAAGAAAACCTTGTGAGTCTGACCTTGTGCCCACCCGACGTGAGCTTCTTCTGGGCTCTTGAATCCGGACTAGCTCCTGGCATTTGAATGCTCTAGTCTGCAAATCCTCCAGTGCTACTAGTGTCCAAGTAAGGACCAGTGTGTCTTGGTTGTTATGTAAACCTGAGACCATGCAGATACTATCTATCATCTATTATAGACAATGCAGAAAGTACTCTGTGGAGGGGAATTTTTTTTTAGTTCCAACAGGAAAGTTCATTATATTTCATTTACATTAATATACGTAAACACACACAGAAGCAACATGAGTTTGCTAACTATAACCTCCACTGGTCATATTTCGCATGCAGTAGTTTTCCTTATTCAACTCACTTTAGGGGAAATTTAGGCTGGGAATCAGATGAACAAACATCAAGCCAACTGGGCCAAGCAGCATTTGGTTATTTATCAGATTAGAGAAGCAGGAAAGGTTAAAGACAAGTTGGAAAACAACTAGACTGAAATAGAACCCTGATTAGCTTATAGTAATCAGTATAGTAAGAAGCCAGGCTTTGAAATGACTAGGTTTAAATATATTCTTAAGTTGACTATGTGTTTTCAGATGTGGCACCTCTTGCCTGCCTTAAGGCCAGCAGCAACAGCACGGAACACTCCTCCCATGGAGTGGAAAGAGATAACAATCTAAAGCCATTTTCACAAACATATCCTTCTCCTGCTCTGAGAAACTGGTATTTTCTTTTGTCCTCTCTGAGAAAGCAGAAGCAGCCATGAGCACATGAAAATGTGCTAAGGCTTTTCTCCTTGCAGCTCTACCAATTTTTACTTAATCTATTTTGAAGATCTGTTATTAGATGCATAAATACTTATGATTTTTTGCCCTCTTGATGAAAGGATCCCTTTATCATTATGATAATGGTAATATGGTAAAGAAAATGTTTATTCTTTGCTCTGAACTCTACATTGATAGCAATGTAGCCATCCAGCTTTCTTTGTGTTAGTGTTAGCATGGCATATTTTTTTCCATCATTTTACTTTTAATCTATTTCTGCCTTTATATTTGAAGTGCATTTCTTGG